TTATCTGCTTTGTCATTGCCTAGAGGTAATGGCCCAGGAAGTTGTGTGTGATAGGATATGAGAAATATGAAAAGGAGCAGTATGAGAATGAGTAACTTGTTGATGTCTTAAGAAGTAAGTTAAGCAGTTCTGGTTCCATGGAGCTTTTAATAGTGGCAATCTCAATGCAGCTGGCTACATTACAACATAGGCCGAATCAGAGACAATATTAATAGGGGATAAAGCTGTGAGCTGCAGAACCTGAATAACTGCCAATAATTCTCAACGTTGGGCTGAAACTCCAGGGGTCTTGACTGAGCATGTTTAGGTCCATAAATAGCTGCACGGCCCAGGAAAGTAAGTCTGTCCATCTGGAATAGGCTTGTGAAGAGTAATCACAGGGAGGATTTAAGGGTGAAATCTTATCTGAAAGATAATGGTTATCTATAACTCCTACAAAATCTGTGAGGGCGACTTCCCATGCAGTCCACAGCCTGCTGTTGTGAATCCAAGATAACGCCCTTAATCAGGGTCATATCCTGTAAGCATTTTTGATCTATGTTTGGCTGTTGTTGTAAGTTTTGTGATTAAAGAAAGGTAAACTTGCAAGGATTTTACTGTCTGATTGGATAGAAAAAGTGATTCTATTGCCATTATAATTTTATCTATGAACTTTCCTAAAAGTCCTGTTGGAGGCCAGGCATGGTGGCTCATGCCTGTAATCCCAGCAATTTGGGAGGCTAAGGCAGGCAGGTCACGAGGTCAGGAGTTCGAGACCAGCCTGACCAACATAGTGAAACCACATCTCTACTAAAAATACATAAATTAGCCAGATGTGATGGCGGGCACCTATAATCCCAGCTACTTAGGAGGCTGAGGCAGGAGAATGGCTTGAAACCAGAAGGCGGAGGTTGCAGTGGGGCCGAGATTGAGCTATTGCACTCCAGCCTGGGCAAAAGAGTGAAACTCCGCCAAGAAAAAGAGAAAGAAGTCCTCTTGGAGACTGGAGAGTGGGAAGAATAAACACAGACAGAGGCTTTTGTGGGTGGAGTTGGTAGGCATGTCATTCCTGAAGCATTTGTTCTGCCTCCTTAGTAAGTTTCCAGGGAGAATCTAGTGAAGAATCTCCTTGGAATGTTTGATAGAGGTGTTTGAGTTGTTAAGCAATACCTAGCACTTGGCTCAGCCTATTAATACCCTCCAATAATTACTGAAAATCATTCAGAGTTTGTAATCTGTCTCTATGAAGAGCTACTTTTTGAGGGCTAACACTTCTTTCAATAACAGTAGTTCCTATATACTCATATGGGGAGGTTGTTTGCACCTTTTCAGGAGCTATTTTGAGATTCCATTTAGTCAGGGCTCGTTTTATTTCTCTACATAGCTGGTGTAATATTTGATTTGTAGGAGTGGCCAAAAGAATATCATCCATGTAATGAATGACGTAAGGGGTGGTAAACATGCTTCGAGGCTCCTTTAATGCTTTTACTACATAATGCTGGTATAATGTAGGACTGGTCAGCATGCTTTGGGGTAAAACTTTCCACTGATAGTGAGAGACAGGCTCTCTTTGACTAATAGAAGGCACACAGAATGCAAATTGAGGCTTGTCCTTCTCATGCAATAGTATAGTATAAAAAAATCTGGATCTGTATCTATGAGAGGCCAATCTCTTGGAATGCCTGTTGGGGACAGTAAACCTTGTTGCAATGCACCCATTGGTTTAATCTGTGAATTTACAGCTCTCAAGTCATGTAGCAGTTGCCATTTTCCTGATTTTTTTTGAATCACAAATACTGGTGAATTCCAAGGGCTGACTCTTCTATATGTCCTTCATTAAATTGTTCTTTTATTAACTGATGAAGCAGGGAGTCAGTTTCTCCTGTGATAGGGGCCATTGATCCACCCATACTGGTTTATCAGTCAGCCACTCTTTTTTTTTTTTTTTTTTTTATGCAGAGTTTCGCTCTTGTTACCCAGGCTGGAGTGCAATGGCGCGATCTCGGCCCACTGCAACTTCTGCCTCCCGGGTTCAGGCAATTCTCCTGCCTCAGCCTCCTGAGTAGCTGGGATTACAGGCACGCACCACCATGCCCAGCTAATTTTTTGTATTTTTAGTAGAGATGGGGTTTCACCATGTTGACCAGGATGGTCTCGATCTCTTGACCTCGTGATCCACCCGCCTCGGCCTCCCAAAGTGCTGGGATTACAGGCTTGAGCCACCGCGCCCGGCCCAGTCAAGCCACTCTTAATGGCAAAGTGGTGGATGGATAAGTATCAATGACCCCTATTAGAAATTCGGAAAGCTGAGCTGTTTTCTGTTTGCCCAGTTATAGATAATGTATCAGGGCTTCCCTTCAGGGACTTTCCTAAGCCTTTTCCGCTCTGATAAGCCATCTTTTTCAACATTTTAAATCCTAGACTATCAATTTGCTCATTCATAAGCTCATATCCCATGGTGTAATTATGTCTTGGCCTCACAGATTAACAGCTATATTTGCAACATAAGTTTGAAAAGTACATGATTGTCCATCTGGACTGAGGCAAGGTAAAATGTCAGTATTCCGCAGAACACATTGAGCTGTTCCTATTCCCACTAAGGATGTAGAGACTAATTGTAAAGGCCAAGATGAGGGCCAATTGTTTTTAGATATTACTGATACATCCACTCCCATGTCCATAAGCCCACAAAACTTCTTTCCTTTAATTTGCACAGGCCGATTAGAATCTGTGGGCTGGGAGAGGTAAATTTCCCGTGTAGTTGTACTCCCAAATCTTTGATTTTCTTGTCTCTCCTTTCGTGGAGAAGGGTGTGACTTGCAGGGAATAAGCAATAGCTGAGCAATGTATTCTTCTGGTTCAAAAACCCAGAGATCCTGTGGCAGTTACTTGAATTTTTCCTTCACAGTCAGTCAACAACTCCAGGGACAATGGTAATTAATGCCTTGTAAGTTAGGACAGCTTTTACCCAAGATTAATCCCATATATCCTGTTGGCAAAGGTCCCCAAAAGCTGGTGGGAATTTTGTTGGGTCTATCTTCTCCAACTAATGTGACTTGTTCTCTAACTGGGAGATCTAATCCTGCACTTCCAGATGTTCCTGGGGAGAGGGAATATGTTACTCTGAGGACCCACCCCTGAAGAGGGGTTGTGGTCTGGATGGGAAGTGCCCTCATTTTTTGAGGGAGCTGGGTCCATCCCCCCACCCCCCCCTCTTGTTTCCTGACATGGGAGTGCCATTCTGATGAAATTTTGAGTGGAATTGATTAGCCCAATGGTTTCCTTCACTACACTGAGCGCAAATTCTTGGCATTTTTTCTGTTGGCAGGGATACCGCGTTGTAAGATCCCTTTTGCCATTAGTCTGAGGACATTCCATCTTAAAATGCCCAATTTTTCCACAGTTTCAGACAAAGACTGTAAATTATTTAATTCGTTGACAATTGTGAGAGAACTTATAATTTTGTTATTTTGACATGTCAGCCTTGCTGCTAGACAGGAATTACAGAGGTAAGCAGGAGTCTGGAGACAGTTAAGCTTCCGCATTCCCCCCTTTAAAAGCTTTCTTTTAAAAATAAATATTACTAGAAGGCTTTACCTTCTTTATGATAGACATGATGCTAGGATAGCAGGATAGAGCCTAAGGCCTGTCACAAGGCAATGCATTTGTTTGCCTTGGAAGTTACTTTGCTATTGTATCTGCTCTTAGCGTCACTTGTCTTCTTTGTGGCAGCAGACTGGCTCTTTCTTTTTTTTCCTAGTCTACATCAGTGTTCTGTGGAACAGACTGGCTCTTTGACTTAATTTTTCTCAGCCTTTGTTTGCCTCCCTGTGGCTGTGCCTGTCATAGGTCATTCCCATCTTTCAGGGAATCTAACCCATCATTGACTAACCAGACATCCACCTGGGGGGCACGATCTTTGGCCTTTAGAGAAGCACGAGTAAACCAGTCAGAAGTCAGACTTAGAATCTTTTACTGTGCTGTTTGTGCCTACGTAGGAGTTACATTACACCTTAGCAAGTTATTTTTACAAGTGATGTTTAAGGCCTGGGCCTGTCTTCTCTACACTCATACATCTGCGTTTTACAAGCCACGTAGAAGGTAAAGAGGGGAGGCCCGAGAAAGAAAAATACCTTATAGAAGACCTATGTTAGTTTCATAATTTTCTACCTTTTCATGAGATTTCTTCTGTGGGTAAGGGCTGATACTTAGTGCCATTATTTTGGAGTGTGTGTGTCTTGCCAACACCGCCTCTACAGTGGACTGTGTGCTCCTATATAGGAGCGGCAGTAAACAAGGGAGTAATAGACAGCCGCCTGATGTAAGTACTACACTCCCCATGAGAGTCTTGAATCTGCCAAAAGACGAAAGCCATCCACTAAAAAGAGTCTGGGGTCCAACCTTTCCAGGTTTGGACTAGAACAGGGGCTAACATTCTCATTTTGGCAGTGATTTCCATAACTGCCTGTCTGTTGTCATCATTTTTTTTTTTTTTTTGAGACGGAGTTTCGCTCTCGTTGCCCAGGCTGGAGTGCAATGGCGCGATCTCGGCTCACCGCAACCTCCGCCTCCTGGGTTCAGGCAATTCTCCTGCCTCAGCCTCCTGAGTCGCTGGGATTACAGGCATGCGCCACCATGCCCAGCTCATTTTTTGTATTTTTAGTAGAGATGGGGTTTCACCGTCTTGACCAGGATGGTCTCGATCTCTTGACCTCGTGATCCACCCGCCTCGGCCTCCCAAAGTGCTGGGATTATAGGCTTGAGCCACCGCGCCCGGCATTGTTGTCATCAATTTCTAAACAACAGTGAGTTAAATTTATCACAGACTCTTCCTTCTGAAGCCTGCAGATAATCTAATGCCACTCTGTTTTGATTCATTTCTCATCTGTGTAGATTGTACAGCTAACAAATCTAAAGCTTTAGGTGTTTCATTAGTTATAATTTCAAATACCGCTTGTAATCTAATGAAATGATTAATCATGTAGGTGGAATACGATATGACCATGATTCATCTTGTGCCCAGGTGGCTGCCATAGTAGTTAATTATTCTCTGGAGGCCAGTCTGTATGTTTCCAATCTTCTGTGAATCTTTCTCTTTTTTATTTTTTGAAGTCTACTGCTCATTTGTTCCTATGTTTAGGCTCATCATAAATAGGATGGATATCCTAATGTTTTTCCCTGTTTTAAGGCTAACAGGAAGAATGAGTGTTTAATAATGCCTAATACACAAGCTCTTATCCATTTTTCTGGCAACTGCCTGTAGACTGGCTGACCACAGATCCAAGAGTCCTGCAGGCGCTTGCTGTGTGTTTGGAACATCTAGTTGATGCTAAGAGTGGTTTAAAGAAGGGAACCTAGAAAATGGGTTAAAAATGAGATGGCCTTGAGCTTTTTTTACCTTTTCTATTTTCCGTCTGCCATAAAGTTTCTCCTATAGCTTCATTATAGTTCTGTTGCCCTTAACAAGCTAATTCACCTACAGGGGTGTGTGTATAGGTGGTACCCCAACCAGCTACGCAGTATCTTCCTATGATAGGAGTTGTTAAAAGCCAAGTATAAGAGCCAGTAGGTGTTAATTATGGAGCATTTGTGGTGGAGAGAATTAATGTGTAGTTGTCATGGGGAAGCAATTCTTTCACCTCCCAAGGCCACCTATTCTCCATGTCAGTTCCTCTGCATATATAACCTGAGGTAACTCCTATATTTCCTGCTGTATTCTTGGCTAACTGCAGATTTTAGTGGCAGGGATTACTTGGTTAATATCTTCACTGAACGATTTGAAAATCCTAAATCGTTGCTGAGGTTTGTGAGCTCGAGTCCTTTTGATAATATTAAAAATACGATGCTATCAGTAGCTTGCACCCTGGAATATCTAATGCCTAATCTCTTTAGTTCAGGATTCATCTCTTTTTCTGTGGCTGCATCGCTGTATCCAGTTGGGACCTCAGTGCCTATTGCTCAGTCAGGTGAACTCTGATTTGAAATAACAAATTCAATGAGGCGACAGGAACTTCCTGTTACACAGCTGTCATACCGATTCTGTTGAGGCTTCTGGAGAAGTTTATGTCCTGAGGCTATGGAGTATCACTAATCCAGTAGGGGATATGACTGGATACAGTCAACTTTCTTTTGGAATCAGGAATGTAACAACCACAAGAGGCACATGTTGACATGACTCCATGCTGAGGGTTGCTATAACAGATTGGAGCTACAGTTATTACTTATTTTTACAGAGTGTTCTTGTCATCTGGCAGGCATCTAAATACAGATATTACAGATACATGCTGCCTTGACGCTGCCTTTGTCAGAGGAGGGTACTCAGGTTGAATTGTAAAGAGATCCTTTTCCAGACCTATCACGGAGCTTGAACCAAGTCCCAGGTAGAAGTTTGGGGGTCACAGCAGATGTAGGGCTGATCATCACCAAGATCACAGATTGAATAAGTAGTTTGGTTACATATACAAGTTCCTAGGGGAGCTCCCATACATTATAATGGGTTTGATATATAAAGGTTTTAACTTGTGTGTTTCCTACCCATGTAGTACAGATGCATATAGGACATCTGTCCAAAGCTTCCTCCCTTTCTAAGATTGCCACAGGCTAACATGATTAAAATGAAAGGCGACATCTTATACTAAGACCTGGCCAGGAGTGCTTTCTCCTGGAAGCAAGCTTTGCAACAATCACGACACAGTAACAAGATATTAATATTACTAGAATAACAGTAAGACTTAAAATCTCAGTTCACCTTTATTTATCTGGTGGAGATTCCTCAAGCGTCAGCTAGTGCGTTGACTACTCAGCTTTCGGTTATGTGACAAGAGCAGGGCTTGATGATTCTTCATTATCAGTTGTGTCTGAGGTCAGGCTGGTCTGAGTTTGGTCTCTGTTTGCCATTCGTCTTAAGGTTGGTTTGGTGGGTTGACCCGGGTCTGGCTGGCTGGTCCATGTGTCCTGGGCAGCAGCTTGCTTTAACCAGCTGTGATGGATCCAGGGAACAACTTCAGCAACCTTAACAGCAGTGGGGGTAGATAAGATTACAATAAAGGGCCCGTCCTAATGTGGTTGGGATGGGTGGACTGGGCTAGACTTACTGGCAATCTTTCTTGCATCCAACTTTGTACTTCTTTCATAGCTGTACCTAAGGCCTACATTTGTCTTCTCCATATTAGTGCTCCTGTTTCTTTGAGATCTCCTTTAATTTTGGTAATGAGAGGGGGCGGCCTTCCAAACATAACTTTGTAGGGTGAGTATCCTGGCTTTTTTTCTGGGTGCATCTGATTTGAAGGAGAACCATGGGTAGAGCCTGGTCTCACTTTAGGTGGGTTACTAGACAGAATTGTTTTTTTTAACAATTGCTTTATTGCTTGGTTCATCCTTTCAACTTTTCCTGAACTCTTGGGACAGTATGTAATATGCAACTTCCATCTTGTTTTTAATAACTGGGATAGGTGTTAAACAACTTCAGCTACAAATACTGGGCAATTATCTGACCCGATAGTCAAAGGCACCTCAAACTTGTAAATAATGAGCACTAGTAACACCCAGTTACTTCTCAGGCCTTTTCAGTTGGGGAAAACCTTTACCCACTTGGAATAGGGGCATACAAAGATCAATAAATACTTAAGACCTCTTACAGGGTAACTCAGTAAAATCTACAATCAGGTTCTCACAGAGGGTGAATTCCTGGGGGCCGGCCTGGTCCTTGTCTAGGGTTGTTTTGTGCACAGGTTAAGCACTTTTCAGAGACAGCACTGGTAACAGCTGTCAGCTGTTGTAAGGTTGACTAAAAGGATGGACAGGCAGACCCAGGGTCAGGTTTAGCAAGTTTATTTCAACCTGCCAGGCTGGCTGCCTCACCACAGGCAGTGAAGGCAGCAGCCTGGCTTATGGACTATATGGGGGTTATATAGGAGTTTGCAGGTAGCCAGGTGCTGTTCTAAGAAAAACCACATCTTGGCTCTTAGGGGCTAACATTCTGCTAAATTGGGTCAACATTCTGGGTTTGAGAGCTTGGTGCGACCACATCCTGGAACCTAGGTGCCCTGTTTACAGGGCATGAGCTCGGCTTAGCAGGGGAGAATGTCAAAGGGGGTCTATGGGTTTGCCTTGCTGTGACCCTACCATTCTAGCCTTTTGATTGATGTGTGTGTGTGTGTGTGTGTGTGTGTGTGTGTGTATGAGAAAAGGGGCACCGTTTGTTTTTAGCTGCTTCATGCTGAGTAGGGACGCTGGTTGGGGTGAGGCTGGCTTGCAAGTTGGTAGTCCTAGAACACCATCATGTCCTGTAATGTGCCACAGGTAAAAGCTTGTAACTGATTCTGTAAAAAACTGGGTGAAAAGGCGTAAGAGGCAAGGGCCAAAGACCAAGAGGAGGAGGAGAGTTATAGCAGGGCTGAGGAGGGGAAGCAGCTAGGGAGCCCAGGAGCTGAGAGACCAACCGGGCCAGCAGGGCCAGGCAGTAGAATGTCTTTTAAATTTTTTGGGTTTTGTCTTTGAGCCTTTTGATAGTATTTTGTATAATCTAGATTTACTGAGGTAAAAACAGCATTGGTTATTTAAAAAGAGGCACAGACTTTTTCCCCAGCAGTGAGGTGGCCTAGGCCTCTGAGGTTTTTGTAAAGTGATTGATTTAAAGAGTCTAGTTGGTTTTGAAGGTTAGTGATAGACTTTGCTATGGTTTCTTTTTTTTTTTTTACTGACAATTGGAAATTTTGGGAGAGCAACTAGAAATATGATAACAAGGTTTTTAGACTTCCTGCTTCTAACCTGACACTAGTTGTGACTTTAAGGGCTACTAATAAGGGAATGAACTATATATTTTTTTAGTGGGGGTAGGCGTGTAGTATAGTAGGGACAGGGAGTTTTTTGGTTTGGAGGACAAGGTTAATTTAATGTTGGAGGTAGATTAGGGTGCAAGTACCTGTCTAGTTGGTAGGGAGACAGAAATAGGTTATGGATCTCAGAGGAAGAAGATGCCTCTGGTGTTAATGTAAATGGACAAGGGATTCAGAATAGGTGTTGGAGTGTGTAGGTTCCTTATTTGGAGGGAACTGGTCCAGCTTTAGCAACCCAGAGTGAGGGGGAGAGAGAGACCCCTTTGAGAACTCCTGTCTCAGGAAGGGGTTTCCATGTTTGAGAGGCAGGAGAGGAGGTAATGTGGAGGGTCTGGGTAAAAAGGGCCGTTAGCTTCAGGGGAGAGTGAGGGATGGGAGATGGTTTGAGTAGAACCACAGGCAGAGGGAGGGATGGTGCCTATGTGTATGTGTTTGTTGGAAGAGGTGACACATATGGTGGCTTGGCCAAGTTTTGGGGTATACAGAGTTATGGGAGTTTTCCGTGGTGGTTATTGGCAGTATATGTGCAAAGAAGTTTGGTAGCTCTATTACCAAGGACAGTGGGATAGTGAGGGTGAAGGCTCTGTCTATAAAGGCAGAGCCTTTTTGGATGGCGTGTGAGAAGCAAATGGGAATATGGTCCTAGGGCTGAGAAAATGGGATAGCTGAGTGGGCAGTAGAGTAAAGGGAGAAACAGGAATGGATAAACTCTTCTTGAGACGTGTGTGTGTGTGTGTGTGCGCGCGTGCATGGGGGAGAGAGGAGAGGACTTTTAATATTTGATACATTATAAGGAGAGACTTTTTCTCAGCTGATGTGTAGGGACAGGAGGACAGTGGAGGGCTCCTTGAGAGGAAGTGACAGAGCATACAGGACAGTTTGGTTTTTTTAGTGTGTAAACAGGTGTGGAGGTGGGATAGAAGGGTAAAGGAGAAGGTACAGGGGGTGTGCATTGATAAGAGATGTTAGAATTTCCTCAATTTGTTTGGCTATCCAGTTCCCTTGGAAGGAGGCTCCTGAACAGTGAAGGTTTTTGGTGGCAGAATACTGGGTTTGAATTGCGGGGCTGGTGAGGGGGAGAGGGACAGGGGCAGAGGAAACAGACCTCTTTTCCTGCCTTGTCGGCCTTTCTGGTCCCTCTTGAGACATCATCTGATACTGTTTGGTGTCCTCTTGCCTTAGCTGGGAGATGTGCAGCTTGGAGGAGTTGGTAATAATTAGTGATGGGGGTTCCTGCCTAGAATGGGAGTAGAACAGTGAGACGTGTAAGGAAAGAGTGTGAGAAAACGGTATTAAATAAGGAATACGTAAGGGGTCTGGTGGCGCGTGGGCGTGAGATGACTCCATTAACCTCCTCCACAACTGAGACTTGAGAGGTATGAGTTGGTCCTGGGAATTCAGGCAAAGCAGAGTAGGTAGCCTGGGTATTGATTAAAGATGAGATTGAATTTTGCTTGTAAAAAAAAAAAAAAAAAAAAAGATTGACTTACCTGCTACTGACAGAGTTAACCTGGGCTCCGATACAGTGATGGTAGATGGGGCCAGAGGTCCCAGGCCCGGCAGTCTTCAGCAGCTAGGTCAAGGAACTGCGGTGTGCGAGGGATTCCTCACCTTTTGTCTTGGTGAAGGGGTTGCAGGTTGGAGGTTAAGGCTTTTCTGTCTGCCTGTTGAGAGGACAGTCAGCTTTCAGTGGCCTGTGTGCTAGCAGATGGAGCAAGGGCTTTTTGGCACCCACGGATTGGGATATGCCTGTGCCTAATGTCCTTCCTTGCTGCACTTGAAACATCCCCTTGGAGGTGCATTGCTATTGGATCTTTTGTGCCCCTGGGTGCCACAGCCAGGCTGTTTAGGTTTAGCTTTGTCTATTTATTGAAGACCAGGTTAAGGAGGTCTTGTGGGGTTTGAGGGCCATCTTCAGCTTTTTTAAGTTTGTGCCGGATGTCTGGAGCAGACTGGGAAACAAAACGGATGTCCAGGTTCATCTGTTGCCCGTTATTATTTCAAAAACCCAGCTGGTGATTCGCCAATCAAGGGCGCCCTCTGGCGGCCAACCTATGCCAAAACAAGGCCATTCTATTTCAGAGTTCGCCTTTGAGGGGGTCAGCTTTACTGTAAGCTTTCTAGAAATTCTTTAGCATGCACTCTTAAGGGAGTGGGCTTTAATTCCTTGGATTCTTTTCCTCCCATTTCCTTCCTCATGGCGCACAATCACTTTCACTTTGGGCCAATTAGACTGTCTCCCTTGTGGGAGTGTTTCAGACACCACATGACATTGGAGAGTTCATTACTTCCCCCACAATACCTAGACTGTAGGGGTACCTCCTTCAGCCATATGCAGTAGCCCCTAAGGATGTTCACCCCTAGTCCCAGTTAGACCCACACTTCACTGGTAATGTACAGTCCACTCTTAACGGACGTCCGGCACCCGCACACCTCTGCCTCCCCAGGACTCCTCATTGGACAAAACTGAGCCTGTCTGGCGGTCCCAGGTGTGTTCACATCCACTGACACACTCCCAGTTGGGGTGGCAAGCTGCTCTTGCCGCCCTAGCAGCAAGTTCAGCCCCGCTGCACTCAGCGCTCTATTGGCTCAGACTCACTCACACAGGTGGCTGCTGCTTTATGCCAGCATCAGGGTTGAATCTCAGCCTGAATTGGTGAAGTCCTTTCCTCACTGCCCCCAGCCACCTTTTGGGTCAGGCTAATAGACAACCTTTGAGCGGTGACTGGTCCCCCACCTGCCTGGCAGGGCAGGATTTCTGTCTGTCCTCTACCACAGCCTCTCTTTATTCTGTAGGGCCCTCTTTTCTTACCGTGATTCTCGGCCTGTGCTGCGCAGGTTTCCTTCCAGGTACCTGTTGCGCCGGTAGAAGAAGGGCCTTGGGCTGTGGGAGAGCCGAGCCCTTGTCCCAGGAAAGCTCTCGGGTCCGCGCTTCTAGGAACTGGGTCTGGGGAGGGGGTCTGCGGACAGGTGATAAGCTTGGAAAGTTGAGATAAGCTCACAGCTGCAACTTGTTAGCTATGCCTGGTGAGGTTATTTAAATTCCTTAGCCTATGTATACCTTCTAAATGACGTTTAGTTAATGGTAACTATTACCTATGTTATGCATGTTATTTTGAACTTATTACTTATTTTCCTTCCAAATATTAACCACAACAGCTTTTAATAGCTTAAATTCTACTGGAGTGTGTTTATGAACAAGTTGTTGTGGATTGTTTGGATTGGCCCTTATGGTAATAGCAAAAGCACAAGGTCCTAAGGGTTCTGCAGCGGGCAGAATTTTTTTGTGCTGGCGTCTCTTTCTGCTACTGAAGGAGGCAGTGCAGACCAGCTCTGCTCCCCTCTCTCCTGTTTCTCACTTTCAATGGGCGCTGTTGGTGAACCAAAAGGCTCTTTCAATTTTGGGGAGTCAGAGCATAGCTACTGCTGTTCACTTGAATAAGAAAGGGATAATGGCAGGATGACAGTATGCACCAAACTCCAAGCAAAGAAAACAGAGGGATCTATTTTAAGACCTTTTTGATGAGCCCATTTCAAACCTTCCCCTACCTGGTCCCAGTCTTGCACATCGAGGTGCCTGTTTTTGGAAACCATGAGTTACGTGTAATGACTTCCTATAGAAGCTTACTTAGTGTTTGAGAACTGACCTGCGCACCAGATTCTGTAAGTAGTTTTGCTCCTCAGTAGACAAATTCTGCCCATGTTACCCTGATTCAGAAACTTCCCCCTCCAGTACCTCTTTAGGGTACTGACCTTATATTCACTGCCGGCAGATCGGGGTTCCTCATCTGTCTAATCAGTTCCACAACCTCTGCTCCAGCAGACCTTCTTCATTCAGGTCCCTGTATCTCATGTCCCTGTTCAGGGGCCACTTGTGGTAATCTGATGAATGAAGGAAGACCAACGAGGAATTGAAGCTAAAGGAAAAAGGTTCTGTTTGAAAGAATGGGTCGGGGGTTCTTTGCTTCTAGTGAACACAGTCCCTGAGCTTTTACAGCCCTTCGTATTTATTAAGTAAAGTGAATAATTGTCGGTCAGCTACTTATCACAGGGACTGCTTCCCTAGTTCAGCTGCTTCCAGATATTCAGGCAGATAACCTCAAGGAGCACAGGACCTGGGGCGTGACTGCCCTCAACACTGCTGTTGTTTTCATGAGGACAGTTTGCGGTTTACTCATAGAGCCTCCAGAGGTTTTTGGTCATACCCACATTCTTGGGGTCACCAGTACATTTGATATCCCACAGGAAACTAAATATTACAAAAAGAATTCCTTCCTATTTATTTTTAGAGATGAGATCTGTTAGGTTCTCCAGGTTGACCTCAACTCTGAATATCTGGGATGACAGATGAGTGTCATCGCACCTGGTGAAATACTACAAAACAAAATCTGAATCCAAGAAAACAAGAATCCACAATTCACTTCCCCAAGATATCTACCTTTGCCCATCTTCTACCTCTCAGGTTCTCCAACTCAGAGGAGAAACTTTGTCACTAGTGCCACTGTGTCCTCATGGGACCATTGATCATAACACATAGCCATCAGCAACAAGAGGCAGGTGAACAAACAGGTATCTATGCTGTGGTCCTGAAATAAGGGGTTCCATCCCCTTCTTTCTAGCAATTCTCCTGGTATAACAAAGGTCACATGAATCCTGATGCAGTGCCTTAGGCACTTCCAACATAATCCTTCTGTACCTACACACCCTTCACATCTTTGGACACCACAAACACACGCCAATTGCTGGTGCTGCCGCCGCCGCCACCACCACCTAACTGCCCCACAGCATAGGCCTCTCTCTGGCCTTGCCAAAAGTTAAAGTATTTTAATTCCCCTTCCTAATACTGGTGTGGATAGGAGTTTAACCCAGGGGTTATGGTGATGGGCACACACACAACACTTGATGCTGAACACAAGTCATCAAGAAAGTTCGTTAATCAAATATGCTCACAGCTGAGAGGATACCATTCACCACAAAGATCCACACGGGGGCTGCTTTATACGTAAGTGAGGGTAACCAGGGGCCAGGCTCAGTGGCTTATGCCTGTAATCCCTGCACTGTGGGAGGCCTAGGAGAGTGGATCACAAGGTCAGGAGTTCAAGAGCAGCACTAAAAATACAAAAATTAGCCAGGTGTGGTGGAACATCCCTGTAATCTCAGATACTCAGGAGGCTGAGGCAGGAGAATCGCTTCAACCTGTGAGGAGGGAGTTGCGGTGAGCTGAGATTGCACCACTGCATTCCAGCCTGGGGGATATAGCAAAACTCTATCTTAAAAAACGAGAGTAACCAGGGACTGTGGTATGCAAGCTTTGCTGAATCAAGAGGGTATGATAGCCCCTCATTCCCTTGAAAGGATGCAACTGGCTTGTCTTAATTTTTAAGAAAGGGTCTCGTTCTGTCACTCTTGCTGGAGCATACTGGCACGATGATGGCTCACTGCAGCCTGAACTTTCCAGGTTCCAGAGCTCCTCCCACATCAACCTCCCAAGTGGCTGGGACCAAAGGCATGCAACACCATACCAGCTATAACTGGCTTATTTGAATAACTCTGCTGGTAGAAATAAAATTCAAACTTGCTACAAAAATAACCAGGAAATCTGCCTAGTCCTCCTGATCAAAAAGGTTGTTAGACCGGGCGCAGTGGCTCAAGCCTGTAATCCCAGCATTTTGGGAGGCCGAGGCGGGTGGATCACGAGGTCAAGAGATCGAGACCATCCTGGTCAACATGGTGAAACCCCGTCTCTACTGAAAATACAAAACATTAGCTGGACATGGTGGCACGTGCCTATAATCCCAGCTACTCGGGAGGTTGAGGCAGGAGAATTGCCTGAACCCAGGAGGCGGAGGTTGCGGTGAGCCGAGATCGCTCCATTGCACTCCAGCCTGGGTAACAAGAGTGAAACTCTGTCTCAAAAAAAAAGGTTGTTAGACTAGGTCACATTATCCAACAGAGCAGAGTGGGAAGGGGAATTTGCACTCAGACCATTTGTGGTAGTATTGGTATCACCAGACATGAATGAAGGTAAGCACATGATAATGGCCTTAAACTTAGGGCTTACACCATAATGTGGCTGACATCATCCACGGTAGTCTTAGTTAATTCAAAAGGAATCCAAAACTATCACACAATTCCAGTGGTTCCTAATAGCAGTGGTAGGCCCAAATCCACAGGCAAAAAGTACCATTAGTATTTTGAGATATTCATAGCCTTATTTTACTTCTGTGCTGCATTTGCTATCCTCAGAAATTATGAGTTACTTCTGTCCGCCTAACCCCATCCAAAGCCCAGACCCATTGCTCCTCAACCTTGGGCCTACTGACTCTCACAAGATAACCGTATTTACCTCTATGAAACACCCCAGAACACACCAAAGTCATCTCAATATCAGCCGGGCGTGGTGGCTCACGCCTATAATCCAAGCACTTTGGAGGCCAAGGCGGGCGGATCACCTGAGGTCAAGAGTTCAAGACCAGCCTGACCAACATGGTGAAACCCCGTCTAATGAAAAAGAAAAATCATCTCAATATCTTGGTGTGGCCACAGAGTGGCGACTTAGGACAAGCTCCAGCCTGAGTGTCATCTTCTTTCAGCTACTCCTATGCGTCTGGAGGCATCTCATGTCTATTCATCCCTGGGAAGTCTACGCTACCTGCCAGACTAGGCCATCAGATATATCCTCCCTTCATCACCATTTACCTCCCTCACTAAGTCCAATACCATCACCAGGTACCCGAGCAGGAAACCCAACCTCCATTTCCTCTCTCTCTGGTAATGTCACCACCATAATCTGAAGTTTGCCCCTTGCAAATGTGACCCATGACTCACTCATCTTGGTCCACACAGTAGCTACCACGTATTGGATACCTCCAATATCAACCCCTCCCCAGATATTTGCATCTATGTGTCCTGCTGCCCATTTGATAATTCCACTAACTAGTATCTAATACATTTCAGAATCTTAACATGATCATGATATTGTGAAATACATATATGATCATCTCCTTTCCCGGCACAGAATTCCTAAAATTCATGACGCTTTCAAATTTATAAGTGACTTTTAACGGTAATGAGTTGACTGATGGTTGGTAACCCCTAGATAACTTCAGGATGGGTACTTGTCAGGGGAAAGACTACATCGGGATTCGAGGTCCGGAAAGTTCAGCCCTGCACCCCAATCTCCAAAAGGGGAGAAGGGGCTAAGGTTAAGCTGACCAGCATTGGCAAATAATTTAACCAATCATGGCTATGTAATAAAGCCTCCATAAAAGCCCATAAAGAGAGGGTTTGGAGAGCTTCCAGATAGCTAAACACATGGAATTTCCTGTGTTCCTGGAGGGTGGTGGAGATCATAAAAGCTCTGGGTCCCTTCCTCCTATGCATGTCTTCATCTGTAACCTTTGTAATAAATTTTCTTTTTTTAAACTGAAAAAGTGTCTAAGTTTTGTGACTGGCTCTAGCAGATTAATGGAAGCTGAGAAAGGGGTCATGGGAAGCTGATTTATAACAAGTCGGTCAAAAGCACAGGTAAAAAACATCCTGGGGCTTGGAACTGGCATCAAAAGGAGGTGGGCGACAGTCCCATGGGACTGAGACTTACCCTATGAGATGTGATGTCCACCGTAGAAAATACTTGGTGTGTGAGGAAAAGTGTCCACACATCTGGGCACAGAAGTACTCTGCGCTGACTCCTGTTGGGGGGGAGAGCAGAGCAAAAGTAATTTGTTTTTTCCCCTCAGAATGGCCAAAATGAAACTCCTGATATCCTCAGTGAATATTACACCTGATATCAACTTGCTCATCTCATTTGCAGTTCCCATTGCTACAGCTGCTAAGACCAAAAACCCTGGGGTGATTCCTGAATCCACTCAAGCTCTCTAAAAATCCGAGTTGCCCCTTTAAAAAACACAAAACCAGAATCTAGCCACATTGCCTAAGCCAACTCCAGTTCATTCCTTCTCACCTGGACTATGGGAGTAGCCTTCAGTTTGATCTTTCTCCTCCCTCAACCCCACAGTCTGTTGTCCGCTCTATAACCAGACAAAGCCTGTTAAGACACTGGTAACATCACCTCACCCCCTTCAGTTTCACTTTTTTTGAGACGGATTCTCAGTCTGTTGCTCAGGCTGGAGTGCAGGGCGGCACAATCTTGGCTCATTGCAGCCCCCATCTCCCAGGTTCAAGCAAGTCTTCCACCTCAGCCTGCGGGTAGCTGAGACTCCAGGCACCTGCCACCATGCCCAGCTGATTTTAGTATTTTTAGCCAACTTAGGCCGACTCATTCTCCATACAATACCCCTGTACTCCCTGTCACAAAGGCCGATGGCTCCTATCAGCTAGTCTAGGATCTCCGGGCTATCAATCAGGTGGTCTTTCCCATCCATGCGGTAGTTCCCAACCACAAACCACATATGCTGCATTCCCTCATCCCTCCAGATACAACCCATTACATTGTAACAGACCTGAAACATGCCTTTTTTAACATTCCTCTTCACCCTGACTCCCAAGATCTCTGCTTTCACTTGGACTGACCCTGAAACCCTCCAGTCACAACAACTTACTTGGACAGTCCTCCCCAAGGCTTTAGAGATAGCACCCATTTCTTTGGGCAAGCTGTAGCTCAAGACCTCACCTTCCTAGACCTCTCCCGTAGCTGGCTCCTCCAGTACATGGATGACCTCTTCTGTAGCCCCTCCCTAGAGGACTCTCAGACTCACACTATTACCCTTCTAAACTTTCTTGCTAGTAAAGATATGTAGGGTTTTATATATAAAACCTATATATAGGTTTTATATATAGGGTTTTATATAAAACCTATATATAAAAATATATAGGGTATTCCCCTCCAAAGCACAACTCTCCACTCCAACAGTGATGTACTTAGGAGTCCAGCTCTCTCCCAGGACCTGAGCCGTGACCCCAGCATAGGCAGCACTGATAGATGGCCTGTCCCCATCCACCTCTAAGAGTGAGATCCTCTTTCCTAAGACTAGCAGGCTTCTTCAGAATATGGATTCCCAATTTTGCCCTCCTAGCCCACCCCCTCTATGAAGCAGCTAAAAGCCCATTCAATCAGCCCCTAGATCCTTCACACAACATAATCCCTAGCTTCCACAAACGTAAAGCTCCTACTCTATCTTTGCTTTACATGTCTCCACCCTTCATTCCCTACACAGCAAAACACCATGGAATAGCTCTTGGTGTCCTTGGCCAACAATAAAGGAAATCCTCCTTCCTTTGCTCCCATAGCTTACCTCTACTAGACAGCATCGCCCGAGGGTGGCCCACCTGCCCCAGAGCGCTAGCAGTAGCTGCCACCCTACCCTTAGAAAACAAAAAACATTCAGTCAAGACACCACAGTCCACAGCCCACAAAATCTACAAGATCTCCTCTTCTCTGGAGCACTGAGCACTTTCTCCTTGTATCCAACTACTCCATGCCCTCTTTCTTGAAAACCGAGTTCCACCTCTCCAGATGTGGAACTCCACATCTGGAGATCCTCAATCCTCCCTCAATCCTACATCTCTACTTCAAGTATACTCCTCCTCTCCCACACACTCCTGTACTGAAATCCTTGATCACCCACAGCCTCATTTCCCTAATATCTCTCCTGAACCTGTCCCCGATCCTGATGACTAGTTATTTATAGACGGCTCCTCTTCCAAATCAGTTGACTCCCATAAAATCGCTCGGTGTGCAGTCGTCTCCCTTGACCGTGTAATTGAAGCTAAACCCCTATCCCTAGGGACCTCCTCCCAAAAGACAGAACTTGGAGCTCTCATCAGGGCCCTAACCCTCTCTAAAGGAAAATGAGTCAACATTTTTACTGACACCAAATATGCCGATCACATTCTCCATTCTTTTTTTTTTTTTTTTTTTAAAGATGGGGTTTCACCATGTTGGTCAGGCTGGTCTTGAACACTCGACCTCAGGTGATCCGCCCGCCTTGGCCTCCAAAGTGCTTGGATTACAGGTGTGAGCCATCACGCCCGGCCACATTCTCCATTCTTACGCCACCATCTGGCAAGAGAGAGGATTTCTTCCTGCCAAAGAAACCTCCATCACTAATGGCCCCCTTATTTACCAACTCCTCCCAGCTGCACACCTTCCGGCTAAAGCAGGGGTTGTAAACTGTCAAGGACACCAAACAGGGTCAGATGAAGATCTCCAGAGGAAACAGGTTGACGGGGCAGCAAAAGAAGCCTCCCTTTTTTCTGCCCCTGCCCCTCTCTTCCTCATTACCCCCACCACTCAAACCCAGTATTCTCCCACTGAAAGAGCGTCACTGCTACAACAAAGGACCTCCTTCCAAGGGAACTGGATAGTCAAAGATCAAAAACTCATCCTCCCCAAGCAAAAACCAAAGAAATTCTAACATCTCTTCACCGGTCTTTCCATATCAGTGCGTACCCCCCGTACCTACTTCTTCACCCTTGTTTCTCTTCCCCTTACCTATTTACCTCACTGAAAGACATAACCTCAAATTGTTGTATGTGCTCTGTCACTTCCTCCCAAGGAGTCCTCTGCTCTCCTCCCATCCCTACACATCAGCTAAGAGGAACACTCCCAGGAGAAGACTGGCAGTAGACTTTACCCACATCCCTACTGTTAAGAAAACTGTTTCTTCTTACTCTTGTAGACACCTTCTCCGGGTAGGTGGAATTCTTTCCCATCTCCTCAAAAACAGCTGCAGTAGTTTCCCAAATTCTTTTAACAGCCTCCCGTGCTCCATACAATGAGAGAGTGGCCCTAGCTTCATCTCCCAAATCACCTAACAAGTCTCTTAGTCCCTTGGCATCCAGTGGCACCTCCATATCCCATACCAACCCCAGTCATCAGAAAAAGTTGAAAGGTCAAATGGGATCTTTAAAATTCAGTTAACTCACTCCTGAAGTCCAGAAACCCTGGACCTCCCTTCTGCCGGTAGCCCTAACCCACATCAGGGCCAGCCCAAAACCACCCTCCTTCCTCAGCCCATTTGAGTTAATGTATGGACGCCCTTCCTCTTACAAAATAGGTCCCCTTCTAACTCAGCTAGGAGAATACCTCCCAACACTTTACCTCATCTGCCGTATCCTCCGTGAACAAGCAGACCAGGCCCTCCCAAAGCCCCAGGAAGGCATCACCAACTGGACCTTCCTACCAGGAGAACATGTCTTCCCAAAAACTCTTAACACAGGCCGGGCATGGTGGCTCACGCCTATAATCCCAGCACTTTGGGAGGCCGAGGCAGGAGGATCGCTTGAGCCCAGAAGTTCGAGAGCAGCCTGGGCAATACAATGAGACCTCGTCCCTTAAAGAAAAAAGAAAAGAAAAAGGTCTGGGCGTGGTGGCTCATGCCTGTAATCCCAACACTTTGGGAGGCTGAGGCGGGCAGATCACGAGATCAAGAGATCGAGACTATCCTGGTCAACATAGTGAAACCCTGTCTCTACTAAAAATACAAAAATTAGTCTGGCATGGTGGCGCACGCCTGTAGTCCCAGCTACTCGGGAGGCTGAGGCAGGAGAATTGCTTGAAACTGGGAGGCGGAGGTTTCAGTGACCCGAGATCGTGCCACTGCACTCCAGCCTGGCGCCTGGTGACACAGCAAGACTCTGTCTCAAACAAACAAAAAACAAAACAAAACAACAACAACAAAAAGTCTTAACACAGCAAGACTTAAACCAAAGTAGGAAGGTCTCTTTCAAGTTCTTCTCACAACCCTCACCACAGCTAAACTCTGAGGACATATCTCTTGGTACCATCTTTCCAGATTATAAAGAGTTCCCGAAGCACCCACTGACCCGCCAATTGCCAACCTCCACCAATTCTCCAGCACCCTCCTTAGTACAACCAAACTCCGCCTTAACCCCGTCCCTAAAGACCCATTACGGGTAACTCCTTCATGTATTACCTCTGCCTGTCCCTGCTCCGGTTGCAAGGTCCTCAGGATGAGGAACAGCCTCTCCCTATAGCATACAAAATATTAGAAGTCCTCTCCTCTCTCCCTATTCCCACACATAGAAAGTTCTTAACTCACCTATTCATTGCTCATTTTCAAGGAGATTTTGGCTACCCATGGGACGCTATCAGCCACGTCACAGACCCTCTAGAAGAGGCCACCTCCCCATACAGTCCCTACCAACTCCTTCCCTTGCCAGCTCCTTCCCCCAGATACAGACTCCGATTCTTTCTCAAGTTCCTAACGCTTTTAATAGTCACACTGCCTCTCCTCCCTCAGAGTCCCTTCTCACTTCTATAAGGCTTGAATGATCTCTCAGTCTCACTCACTCCTTGTTGTTGTGCTCCACCTCTACACTTGCTTCCTGTTGCTGGACCTGTTTTTCCCTTTCCTATACTGCCTACTCAGCCATCCCAATTTCTCAGCCCAGGGACCATATTCCCATTCACTTTTCACATACTGTCCAAAAAGGCTCTGCTTTTGTAGACAGAGCCCTCACCCTCACTGGGAACTATCCCACTTCCTTTGCTAACAGAGCTAGCAAACTTCTCTCCACATATACTGCCAAAGACACTCATGCAAAACTCCCTCATCCTGTCATCCAAGGTCCCAAACACTTCACACCAAAAAACTTAGCCAAGCCCCCTTATGTGCCACCTCTTCCAACAAACACATACACATAGGCATCATCCCTCCCTCCACCTGTGGCTCAACTCAAACCATCTCTCATCCCTCTTCCCATACCTCACTCCAAGTAGATTATTCAGTTTCCCCTGAAGCTAACAGCCTCTTAACCCCGTCCCTCTGCATTACCTCCCCTCCTGCCTTTCAAACATGGAAACCCCTTCCCCAGACAGGAGTTCTCAAAGGGGTCTGGGTAGCTGAAGCTGAACCAAATCAGGAACCTACATACCCCAACACCTATTCGCAATACACTTGTCTGTTTGCATTAACACCACAGGCATCTTCTTCCTGTGCGGATCCACAACCTACTTCTGTCTCCTACCCACTGGACAGGTACTTGCACCCTAGTCTACCTTACCCTCAACATTAACCTTGTCCTCCAAACCAAGAGAACTCCCTGTCCTTGCTACATTACACGCTAGATCAAAAAGAGCAACACAGTTCATTCCTTTATTAGTAGCCCTTGGAGTCACAACTAGTGTCGAGTTTAGAGCAGGAAAGTTTGGAGCTTAGGAACCTCATTATCATATGTCCAGTCACTCTTGAGACTTCCAGTCGTCATTAGAAGAAACAGCAGACTCTTTCATCACACACGTCGAAAACCAATTGGACTCTTTAGCAGCATTCGCCCTACAAAACCGCAGAGGTCTAGACTTCCTCACTGCTGAGAAACGAAGTCTGTGCCTCTTTTTAGATGAACAATGAATTTGGGTTAGTACGAGACACTGTCAAAAAGCTTAAAGACCGAGCACAAAAACTTAAAAGACGTCAGTTCACCTGGCCCCAGTGGTTGTCCATAACTCCCGGACACCCTGGCTACTGCACCTCCTAGGTCCTGCCATAACTCTTTTCTTCTTCTAGCATTTGGTCCCTGCCTCTTACAACTCCTCGCCCAGTTTTTACAAGACCTTATTAAAGCTTTCACCCATGGAACAATCTAAGATATGATGCTGCTCCAAGAATACAGACAGTTCCAGGAAAGACAATCCCTACAAATCTAGCCTCTCCCCACACGTCGTCCCTCCCCTATTACCTATTAAGAGGCTGGAATGTTAGCCTCTTAATAGGTAATTAAGACCACCTGCCCCAGAAAACCTCCTCCGGGCAAGCTGAACCCTTACCCCCACTGATTGCTCTGCAGCTGCATTTCTGAACTCTTATTTAGGCACATAGAGGCTGCCAGACGTGCTACAATTAAGCAAAGCCTGATTACAACCATCCGGGCAGCTCGGGGGAGGACAGGCAAAACAAATGTTATCCATACTTGTAAATTCTGGTTTTACACATACCTGTAAAATCTTTTAAACTGCCGCCACAAAAGTCACAGAATGATGTAAGTCTGTTACAAGTTGACAAACTATCTCTGTGCCTATTACAGCGGATAGATGACCTCAGTCCTGAAGCTCCTTTACGCTTCTCTCACCCCATATAAACACCTCATTTTGTAAGCTCGGTGCTGCCTCCTGTGATTGCTACAGGGCAGCCTGGCGGTTTAATACAACCTGCTTGCCTGACTTTGGGTCTATTCTTTCTCTCGGCTAACCTCACAGCCTCATAGTTTGTTCTCAGTTCCCGAGTTATAAACCCTCCTGGCTCAGTCGCTGCCTCCAGACCTTTGCCTATGCCGGTCTCTTGGTCAGTCTCACCCTCCCGACTGCATCGACTGGGTGTTTCGGAAATAGGGATCCCACGCAACGCTGCCTCTCGGTCCCTGACATAGGCCAGGGTTGCAGGGTCGCGAGGAGGGGCCCTTCACGATCAGGAGTCTCAGGGTCTGTGTGGGGAGGGCAGCTGAGGCCCGGAGGTCGCGTCGCTCACCTGAGCTGCGTGAACGGGGGGACCAGGGCTCGGCGGCCCCTGTCCTTGTCCTGTCCCAGGTCGCGACCAGCGGCCTCGCAGAGCCTCAGATCCGCCTGTGTGCGATGGGCACAACCACTTCTCTCGGGCTCTCCCTGACACAGCAGTCCGAACCCAGCGTAGCTGGAAGGACCTGCCAAGTTAAAATGGGCGCGCGGCGAGGACGCAGCAAGTCCCGGCTTGACGTTACGTGCCCCCGTAAAGGCGCGGTTTCTCTGAGGCTTCACTGGGTCAGCCTCACTTCCATTCCACAGAGAGGGTTCTGGGTAATGTAGTTCCCAGAGATGCCCCGCACTTTAAAGTCGCCCCCAACCAGAGTTTGGCAGAAAGGGCCGAGATTGCACCACTGCACTCCAGCTTTGGTGACAGAGTGAGACTCCATCTCAAAAAAAAAAAAAAAATGTAGACCAAGTAGAGCTTAGTAAAAAGTTACTAGTTTTAGAGTAAGTGAGTCAAAGGAGAAACTATATACAACAACAAATTTATATAAATCATGTAAAAATTTCTCAGGGAACATATTGATTTATATATCACACTAAAATGGAACAAAGCTAAGAAATTACCAAAATACCAAGTTAAGTGTGAAAAAGAACATTAACAAATTGAGAATAGGCAGGAAATCTAAATATTTTGTATAGAAATTTTCACATAAATTTTAGCCATAAATAAGCAGAACTGATTTCATATGTGAATTAACAAAAGTTGTATTAATTATTCAGACAAGAGCCTACAGATCCTAAAACTGCTCTCATTACTAAAAACTTTGTCTTTATAGGCTACAGATTTTCTATGACTACAAAGGTTTTGTGGGGACATAATTTGGGTACTATCAAGAAAATTTTAACTGGGCATTGCAGCTCACACCTATAATCCCAGTACTTTGGGAGGGCGAGGCAGGTGGACCCCCTGAGGTCAGGAGACCACCCTGGCCAACATGGAGAAACCCTGTCTCTACTAAAAATACAAAAATTATCCAGGAATGGTGGCGGGCGCCTGTAATCCCAGCTACTTGGGAGGCTGAGACAGGAGAATCACTTGAAACTGGGAGGCGGAGGTTGCAGTGAGCTGAGATCAGGCCATTGAACTCTATCCTTGGCAACAAGAGTGAAACTCTGTCTCAAAAAAGAAGAAAAAAAAAAAAAGGAAGAAAAAGAAAATTTCACTCTTCACAGAAGTGACAGGAAGATATGCATCAGCGAGTGTGTGTAGTCATAATATGGTTTGTTTGAATAAGCCATCTTATGACTTCTAGATGACATCCCACAAACCTGTATTGATTCAGAATCACTGGACATCCTTCCAAAAAGAAGGGAATCAAATATTAGTAACAATGGAAATAAAATGTACGTATAAAACATGTTGTCATTAGGTAACATTTAGGGATTGAGATGCTTTACATCCCTGATTATCTTGCTATTTGTAATTTATGATCTTTTAATTCGTGTATTAAGTATTTTTCCATTCACTAAATAGGACAGGAAGTTTTAACTTTTGCATTCAACACATGAATAACATACTCCTGCAGCTCACATTTCCAAATCATGTTCTCAAAAGGATAAAAATGCATATCCAAAAAAATGGTATTAGGACACTAAACATCTACTCAAAAACTGTGGGTAAAAGTCTTCTTGTTCTTCACTTTATGTGAGTAAAGCTCTTATAATGAATGTTTTGAGAATATTTTGGTTATCAATGAGAATACTTTAAAGAGGGTGTGAGAGCAAATATGGAGAAGACATTCTAGGCACCCCTAAGGGAATTACACAAGGTGGTACCATCGCTCTGGGTCCCTCAAACTATGTTCTGTCTCTTCATCTGTATTGTGTTCCAATCCCATAAAGCAGCATCATTTTTCCATATAACACTTCCAATTTTTAAAAAATAATTTTATGTGGCCTAAGTGTGATTTGGTTACATGCACATTTTGTGCATGTAAACGGGCTAAAACAGGGCTTTAGGGTATTCATCACCCAAATAATGTCCCTTGTAACCATTAACTAATTTATCATGCACCCTCCATCTCTTCTGAATGTCTAAGTTATGACAATTTCTTCCAAGATTGTGACACTTATCTGGGAATAGTAATTGCTTATTAAATCAATATTTGCCATGGTGGTTGTAATGTTGACATTTCTGCAGGGGTGGAATAAGACTATCTGATTCCTGAGAAATGATCTTGGATTTTAAGATCCAACCTCCTGGCTAGGAAGTGACTATCATTTCATCTGTAGGTGCAGTCATAGTATCTGCATGAAGATTTGAGATTATCTCTTAAAAACAGCTGAAGATTGAGCTAATTACAAAGTTACTAAAATGGATTCAGAGTTATCCATTGAGAATGACATAAGTAGCTAGTAAAGTTTCTATGATGGCCAATAACACATTAAGTCTCAATGGATAGTGAGTAAAGGACAGTAAGCTCTAAGTTCTGAGATAATTATGTGGAACTCATGGCTATGCTGAAAATGTGGCTATTATGAAATTGCAACAAGTATATATCCTTTCCACTTATGAGAACTCTAAGGAAGAACAAACTTGGAAAGAAATAGTATGGCAGGAGTAGAAAGATGTGGAATAATAGAAGGGAAGCCATAGCATATGTGTAAAAAAATAAATAAACTTTTCAACAATCAACATGGCATACTTCTGTGACCAGGTGTGCAGGGTGTTTTCCACATACACCAAGCAAACCTTCAGTGGACATAAGCTGGGGGTCCTCCAGTTCAACTCAGTCATTATCTACCTGCAGATAGCATCACATCCCCCAGTTTGAAGACTCAGTCACCAAGACTGTTACTCCTATTTCTAATGCCAATCAATGCTCCAGAGCCTCTGCTTTTGACTGATGAGCTATAAACCAGGAATCCCATGATGCCCTCCTTGGATTTGATTAATTTCATAGAGTGGCACATAAAACTCAGGGAAAATCATGTACTGGTTAATTATAAATATTACAAAAGATGTAGATGAACAGATGCATAGGGTAAGGTATGAGAAAAGCACTTGGAGCTTCTATTGCCTCCTGCGAAGACTGAAGGTGTCTTAAGCAACAGGGCCTTTATTATAACACAAACCAGGGCAATAGGCGGCAGGTTGTCTCAGATTCGTGACTGGTGAGCTGGAAAATTCCATCTTAAGAATCCTGTGAGATACAAAAGATCCCTGAAAAAGTAGTCTATCTTTTTAAGTCACCAGAAGAGTCCTCTGCGCCAAAAATGAGTCAGGTTCATGGCCTAACTCATTGGATAGAAAGAAATGAGAATGGAATGAGTGCTAAGGATACTAAAAAACCCCTCTGGTGAATGAAAGAAAATCAAAGTTACTTCTGGATCATGATGAGGTAGGAGGATGATTTACTATGGCCACCTGTCAAGGGGTAAAGGTGAAATGCTTTTTGCAAGAAAACTGTCAGTCACAGAAGTCTGGCAAAAGACCTGGGCAGGTTGAAAAATGCTATGCAGTTCCCACATATGCAGCTATTTCATGCAGCTATGTATGGAATGTATGCAGCTATTTCATGTATGACATTCAATTTAGGCAGACAGCATCCTCATAAGGGATCTCCTCCAGTGTTATACTGAAGAAAAAATAATATGGCCTCCACATCTATGGTATTTTCCTCATGTAAATATTCTGGTAACCAATGAGAGAGGGCTGAAGGCTTTCTCACATTCATTGCACTCAAAAGGCACTTATTCAGTGGGAACACTCTTTTATGTAAAGAAGCTAGAGCTCTAGCTAAAGAATATTCCCCATTTGTCACACACATAAGGCCTTGATCCGGAGTGAACTCTCTGGCCCAGAAGGATCCCAATGACTGAGCAAGAGAATTTCCCAAGTTTTCTTCACTTATAAGGCCTTATTCCAGTATGAACTCTCTGATGGCGACGGAACGAAGAACTGTGGCGAAATAATTTTCCACAATCAATGCATTCATATGGCCTTTCTCCAGTGTGAACTCTCAAGTGTTTAATAAGGCTGGAGTTTTCAGCAAAGGATTTCTTACATTCACTGCACTCATAAGGCCTTTCTCCAGTGTGAACTCTCAGATGTGTAATAAGACTAGATCTTCGGCTAAAGGATTTCCCACACTGCCCACACTCATGCCTTTCTCCAGTATGAACTCGCTCATGGTGAATGAGGTTGGACCTTAAGCTAAAGGATTTCCCACATTCACTACATTTATAAGGCCTTTCTCTAGTGTGAACTCTGTGATGCTGCAAGAGTGCAGAGCTTCGGCGAAATGATTTTCCACACTCACTGCATTCATAAGGCCTTTCTCCAGTGTGAACTCTCAAGTGTTTAACAAGACTGGAGTTTTCAGCAAAGGATGCTCCACATTCACTGCACACATAAGGCCTCTCTCCAGTGTGAACTCTCCTGTGTTTAGTGAGACTAGATGTATAAGCAAAGGACTTCCCACATTCATTGCATTCATAAGGCTTTGCTCCAGAGTGAACTTTCCTGTGGTTTGTGAGACTGGACTTTTCAGCAAAGGCTTTCCCACATTCAGTACATTCATAAGGCCTTTCTTTAGTACGAAGTGTCTGATGCTGCAAGAGTAAAGAGCTTTGGTGAAATGATTTTTCACACTCACTGCATGCATGAAGCTTTTGTCCAGTATGAAATCTCTCATGAATATGGAGTGTAGTGTTTTGGTGAAATAATTTCCCATAGTTGCTGTACTCACAAGGCCTTTCTCCACTGTGAACTCTTTGGTCTTTGTATATATGTATACAAGTGCTCTGCTTAGAAGGTGCCACCTCGTCTTCCTTT